TTTTTCCAATGCACAGCTTTCATTTATGACCGCGAGAATAAGGATTCAAAACGCGATAGACAAAAACCAGGTTGGTCTATGCCGGAATTCTCAATGGCAGAAGAAAAAGGAAATACACTAATTTCACACAAAGAAAAACTGGATTCACCTGCTTGAAAATAATTGGAYGGTATAATCAATATTTAAAATAAAACTGTGAATTTTTTACTAGATTCACGCTTACAATTTAATTATACCAATGTTAATAATAAGCTCTTGAGTCATGCATTAGAAAGTAAAGACTCAAAAATCTTTACAAAGCAAAAGATGTCCGAATGATCTAACGTTGCCATCTTGGCGTCGGCCTCCACATAAAATCTCGTGTACGGTTGTTTAAGAGCTTTTTAATGTTTCTCGCTTTACTTTAGCTCATTAAATTATTTACTTCAAATTTTCAAGGTTAATACAGAAATAGACTTCAACATCTTAAAACATGAAAAATTCATGATTGTTCCTAAGTAACTACGACATAAGACAGGAAATTTCCATCGAGTGATCCAGAAAAGTCAGGAAGTAAATTTTGACTTAGAAAGTCCCACCGTGTATGAATTTCCAGTGCATTTGTCGAAGTCGCGGAGGTTATCTTAAAATTAGCCAAGTAATCTCGCTTTTTATATTCGGAAACGCTTGCATCTGTCAATGCATGGGGTATTCAGCCTTCAGTTCACTGATCTCAGTTGCATTTACTGAAACTGAAAAAAATTAACCCGCACAACAAACTGAAGCTTAAAATATCCATAGATAATAATCTTCATGCAAGATATTTCAAGCCTTATGAATATTCTCAAACRAAAGGAATTCAAAGGAAAGCCTTTCCAACTATTTTGGGAGCATTTTATTAGCAAAAAGGATGTATTTGTATTCATATAACCAAGATGGAGGGAAGAATTTAGAAAGCTGCGTGGCTTCATACTTCCCRCCAGTTATGGACGCGTCTGCCAAAATGGCGGGAAGGTTTTACGAAACTGGTTGAAAATGCACTGGAATGTAATCTTCATTCCCAGATAAACAGCAGATAAGCACATATTAGGAACATTTTTGAAAAATTCAATTCTCTTAAACTGAAATTTTATTAAATAACTCGAGGGAAGACGGGGGGAAATATCAGCATGAAAACTTACTAGTTTTAAGGTTTTTTTTTTTACTTTTATGATGAAAATAATTATTAGACGCTGAAATGTAGACTTGTGAAATAAAATATTAACGAAGATGTCGGTAATGCTTTCACTTTTTAATGGATTTTAGTTTAAGTTATTGCCTATTAAGTTAATTACCAAAATATAGTCATTTGAATGCAAGACTTCTTTTTTAAAAGCTAGCGAAATCATGTTCGCTACTTTGGCGTTTATTAGGAGAAAATATGATTACAAAAGAACTTAGGTTTACGATTTGGCAGCCAATAATTGCTTAAATAAAAAGGTAATAATATTTATGAACATTTAGGAAGCAAATTCCTGCAGGGACTGTTTTTCGATTCAGTTCGGAGAATTTAATTTAAGTCGCCATGCCAGGGTTCTACCGCCGCAGKAATAACGCCTTCTTCTATTTTGGATTTTGACGTTTAATTTTCTTAAGATATAGTGATTTATTTTATAGAAAAAGTTTGATTTTTTTTCTTTGTCATTTTATCTGCGAGTGAAGTCATAAGGAATCGCTAAATTCTCTTTATTACATGCTATCATATTTAGATCATTGACTAACACCAATGAAGACTTGCTAAATGATATCCCGCAACTCTGGAAATTTTCTATATGATAAACAATACCCTAGTACRAGTAATAAAAGGCAGGGCCTTTGAAGTCTCACTACAAAAAGGCCGAGGAAAATGAAATTTTATAGCCGTGGTATGCTTATCAGTTTGTTGAGGAAATCTGTGGGGGCTTAGACGAAGATATGTTCAAACTAGTACCCGATAAAATGATTTTAATGACCAGATTGTTTGTTTTGCCCAATGAAGCGAGTTTCAAAACAGCCCATCACGTGAAACGGGTCATTTATCAAGAGCGAAAGAAAGCCTTCAAACAGTCGGAAAAATGCAGGAGTGAACATTGTAAACTTTCTAAGTGATAATCTACAGCTGAGAAATGCTTCAGATCATATTTCTGAGTCGTTTTACACCTCGAGGACTTGCGGGAAAATTTTTTAGTACATAGTCAACAAAGAGAGTACAGACAGGAAACCAGGTCGAGAATTTAGGTCAATATTGCACTGCACGACATAAAAAATTAATCCAGGTTTTTCATTTTAGAAATAAATGGATTAAACTTGGTACCGAAACCAAAGAARTATTAAAATCGGTTTTAAAAAACAACGCTTAAAAAATCCGATTTATTTTTGGTTCCTCGGAGTTAGATTTGGCGGCAAATTTTTTTWATAGCATTACGTAATGGTCACGTGATGATATTTTTATTGCTAATAAAGTTGGCCCCAACAAGCCCAGGCAGCTGAATTATTACCGGTATAAAGGAGAACAAAGAAGATCTACGATCTCACAAATATTCAATATTCGCCCAAATATAACATTCGCAAGCCACGGTAACTACTGTGACTGTCATTCAAGGCATGTGAGTACGAGGGTATAAACCCGATCTTGTCATACGGAGAGCAAGTTGTTGTGTTCTTCACCGCATTAGGTTTTTGATGAGTAAGCGGCTCGCGATGTTTCTCCCTCGGACTGGAATTACGCTGTTTCTGACCTCGTATCTGGTGACCGGTGAGTCTTATTTCCTTACATCATACCAAGAATTACATTTACTCATAGCAAAAGAATTTCAAATCCTCTCTCTATCTCTCTCATCCTTATTTCCCTAAAATTATTATTTTCCTATTTATTATATATTCTTTATTTTTATACGTGTAGTTTGTGGCTCAGAGGTCAAGGAAAAATTATTCACAACCGTACCGAAAAATAAAGAAAGTTTTGTTGGTGATTCTGTCGTATTTCACTGGGATTACAAAAAAGATCTGGAAAAAATCGTACAAGCAGTACACTTCGGGATTCTCAGCAACTCGAGCGATTCGAAAGGGACCCCAAAAGAAGTAACTCTTCTCTTGAAACAGCCTAACAATGTGGTCCGCTTAAACACTAAAGAACCAAAATTCAAAGAGTTGATTAAGCGCACAAAACTTATCGAAGGCAAGAGAGCAAGTTTTAGAATTGAGAAGGTTAGAATGAATGACACTGGGAGATATTTTTGTATGCTAAAGAAGAAAGCTAACTTCAAGACGTACACAGAGTACGTGGATCTTAAAGTCGTTGGTGAGTAAATTAAATATTATCATGTCGTGATGYCGTTTTTAAATCATAAAATCTAGAACTATTAGAGAATAATAACCCAAGAAAATTCCATTTTTAATTAGACAGAGGATATTTTGATCACGTAGCTAGCAAAATACAATTATTTCCTGCTTTCGATAGCCGAGTGGAATCCATGCGTTTCATCCGAAAATATATTCCCAGAAGTTATGTTCTATACTCATGACAATAAGAACGTGTCAATAATTATTCCATGCGTTTAAATACGTGGCTTATRTTTGTGTTAGGCAGTTTACACAAAACATTTTAGGATCGATTCGAAATATTTTGGTGCATATTGGACATAATTTTTCCGCAAGCARTCCTTAACACCTGCTTAAATGAAGGCATGTGTAGTATAAGCGTCATTGATATACTCTGCAAGTTTCCATTAGTGACACCTTTGAGCGCGTGCTTTACGAAAGCCACGCTTTTTATACCAGCGTCTCGTTACTTTTAGAAGTCGATTGTTCMTCGAGTCTAACACGTTTTTACTCTTTGTTTATTCGGTTTTACCTGAGTGATTTTCAAAGGGATAAGTATTTTCATTTGTTTATACAACGACAGCGATTAGCATATACAGGGAAGACATTCTTGTACAGCTGGATAGCGTGCACGGCTCGATCATACAAAATGTGATAATCAAATCGTTACTGTAAGACTTACTCTTAAAAATTATTTCCTTCAAAAAGTAAAACACTGACACTGTTTTTTCTTTTTTTTGCTTTTCGCTGCCGGTTCTTTAGAAAACCGCAGAAAAAGCCCAACCTCTTTTAAAAAAAGATCAAATGAAGAGCTGTTTTGACAGCAGTGCAAAGCGGTTTTCGCGGTAACTTCTCGTTGATTGAAATCCGATTTCCTTTCGTAAAAACTAGTGTCTTTCTGGCCTTATCAACCCTTGTGAATTAAAATAACCTCAAATTAAGCCACAAAGTTCTATGATTATTTCCCGACAAACTAGTGAAGTATTGGCATAACTGAAGGCCATAAAAATAAGGCGAGCCGTTTTTTGCATAGAAAAATTGATGTCAAACACGAGGTCATGAACTACAGATAATTGCCCAGCTTATATCTTCAGCTCCGGCTTTGCAGCTTTCAAAAGATACTACTGCTARCTTGCACTTAACTCCGAGGGGGTAACATTATGGTAGCTTTGCTAACGGGGTTTTGTCGGGGGATAGTCCAATATTAGGCTATTCTTGAACACTTAATTAGCGATATGTTTTTATGCCAGCTGTAATATTCGTAATCTATCTTTTCTAATTGAAAATCGTTATTAGTAGGCACGCCATTACTATCTCACCGTTGTCAACGGCCTCGTTAATTGAGTTCGCAAACAATCTTATCTCGATGGGGTTTAGCACAAGACCAAAGGAACATTCAAGGGTAATCTTGTTGTCTTAGTGTTTCAGTTAATTGAACAGGCAATCTGGAGATGGGAGTGACTTACATTACGCAAAGCAACTTCCCAAAATATGCCTGAGAAATCACAGTCATGAATCGATAATCACCTTGGAAATWTGGTAATTTGTCCATATATCATTGAGCATGTCCAACTGCATGCAAGCTTTATAACAATGACATATCTGTTTTGAAAGACCGTCTGACTGCTTGAATTACAACCCTGAGAGCTTYAGTTATATGTCTGACGTATCAAAACTGAAATTTTCCTTATTTACTTCTGCAGGCCCAGAAYACTCTAGCATAGAACTGAGAAAACGTTTAACAAGAAATTATTTAAAATTTGTTAAGAAGAAAATGAAATTAGATTGGAAATTTGTAGTTACAAAGTTGACATTCCTCCCCCTCTGTTTCCCACTCATTAAATGAATAATCCAAATATAGATATTGTGAGAAGTTTAACTTGACAAAAACCTCCAAATAAAAAAAAAAAACACCACAATCTTTGAAAAATTTGGTAATAAATATTACCTGTACTTACATTAATTATGCAGTGTTCAAAACCAGGTACAAAACCTGCTCCGAAACTCTCAACAAGAGGTTTCCCTCGTTATGAGACAAATTCAAGTCATTCCATGGGAAACAAGTTTATGTACTACAAGCTAAAATATGATTCTGCGGTTAGCGCTAAAAATAAGTATCAATCTTTAAAATATGAATTTATGCCAGATGCTGTCTGAATTAACATGTAGCTAACTTTATCTCAGCATTGCTGATGTAAAAGTGACATGCATATACCCCTAGCTCAAATTCAAATTCTCCTTTTCTCTTCTTGGATACTGCAAAATACTAAGAATTAAAAATATATGCTAATAAAAAAATATCTCAAAAGTTTTTTGCTTRAAGTAGAATATTTTCTTGCGTTAACTTCATACTTTAAGGTTTRTTTTAGGAATTCATCAGAAGAAGAAAAAAACGGGTCTGTTTTGTCACTTAATTCTATTCCATTGACAGGTGTGGAAATATTCCAACATTTTGGTCAATAAAAATGATTGTTCTATTGACAGTTAGGTTTCAAATACCAAAAGTAGTGTGTCAGAAATGAATGCGAAGGTAAACAAAAGGGTGAAAATAAAAAAAAAGCAAACAAATTGGCTCAAAATAAGAAAAAAATTAGAAAGAATTCCTACATGAAGAGATGTTAAGACAAGTGAATATAGTAAAAGGTGAATAAATGTGTGAAAGTGAAAGAAAAATAAAGAAACAGTTCAAAATAAAGAGAAATGAGATTAATTCCAGTAATAATGAGAAAAAATTAAGAAATTATGAGCAGCATATCCAAAAATAAAATAATCATGTTATAAAAATTCATTTAATTATTTGTTTTTTAAATCCATATTAAGACATTTTCTAAGATTTTGGAAATTTAGTATTTTTCATGAGTAATGGGTATTTTAATAATAATAAATAATAATAATAT